TTTCGGTGGTTACACCCCATGTTCCTGCTATGGAGGTCTCTTTGGCCCTCGCTTCCCTCCCGGTTGGTGCCCTTACTGAGGTGCATTCCCTGGTTTCTGCCCCTCCTGTTGCTGTCCCTGACCCTCGGTTATCCCCCCCCCCCTTCCTCCTCCGGACCCTACTCATCCGCCCCTGGTCGGTCCTCTAGCTCCCTTCCCTCCTTCTTTACTCAGTTTACCCATGCCCCCCTAACCCTGACTTTGCTGACCCTGACCCTGATCCTGTGCTTCTTTAACGTGCTGTGTTCCTTTTTCACCTTTGTTTCTTCTTCATTCTCTGTTGCTGTCCTTTCTCTTCTCGTCGATATCTATTCTTCAATGGAACGTTCGTGGTTATTACGCCAATTTCCTTGAACTCCAACTTCTGATTTCGCAGTTTTCGCCCATTTGTGTCTGTCTCCAGGAGCCGATGCTTGGTGCTTGCCTCGTTGCTTTCGTTGCTATTCCTTTCTCTCCCCCCCCCCCCAGCTGTTGCTAGGGTTCCTAACTCTTCTGTTCTTTTGATTCATTCTGATGTTCCCTTTGTCCTCTTACTTTTTCCTTCGCCTCTCCATTGTTCTGCTGCTCGTATCTTTGTGAGGAAATAGTACACCGTTTGTTCCATTTGTCTCCCCCCGAATGTCCCGCTTTCTCTTCCCGATGTGAAACGCCTACTGGACTCCTTGCCGGAGCCTGTGCTCCTGCTAGGTGATTTCAATTGTCGTCATTTCCTTTGAGGTGATGTTCTGACGAACACCCAGGGTCGCCTTCTTGAGCCGTTCATCCTCTTTTCTTCCCGGTCTCTTCTGAATTCTGGTGAGCCCATGTATTTGAACTCTCGGACTCGCACCCTTTCCTGTCTTGATCTCTCTCTTTGCTCGTCTTCTCTTTACTTAGATTTCACGTGGCAGTTTCTTGATGACCTCCGTGGCTGTGACCATTTCCCCATCCTTGTTAAGTTTTTTCTCTTTTCACCCTTCCCTCTCCTTCCCTAGGTGGCAGTTTGCTAAGGCAGACTGGAACCTATTTACCCTCAGTGCTGCTTACTCTGATCTCTCCCTCCTGCCTCTCCCTCGCTCTCTCCTCCTTTTTCATAACACCGTCTTCGACACTGCCCTCCACTCTATTCCTCGCTCTTCCTCTCAGGGACCACGGAAGTGCGTTCCCTGGTGGAATGCAGACTGCTCGGGCTGTCCGCTGTAAATGTGCAGCCTGGAAGAGACACCGCCGCTGGCAGACCGGCGATTCTTTTCTTTTATTTCAAAAGGCGAGTGCAATGGCCCGTAGGGCCATCCGTATAGCTAAACATGAATGTTGTGGGTCTTATGTCTCCACCATTACGTCCGAAACTCCTCTGCCGCAGATCTGGAAGTGTATCCGCAAGATAGTGGGTAAGTTCGCTCCCAATGTCTCACCGGTCCTTCACCTCCGTGGTACTCTTGTGGCGGACCCGTTGCAGATCGCTCCCGAACTGGGTTCCCACTTTTCTTCTGTTAACTCTGGTTTTCATCTTCCCCAATCTTTCTTTCTTCGTAAACCTGTCCTTGAATCTCGTCCTTTAGATTTCTGCACTCATCTTCGACTTCCTATAACGATCCCTTCTCTCTCTCGGAACTTCGGTCTGCCCTGGCCCTCTGCGGTTCTACGGCGGCGGGCTCTGATGGAATTTATTATGAGATGCTTCACCATCTCTCTCCGTGCACGTTTTGGTATTTACTGAGTCTGTATAATCTGATCTGGGAGTCGTCGTCAGTCCCTGAGGACTGGCTCGATGCCATTGTCCTCCCTGTTCGCAAACCAGGGTCTCTGGGAACATCCCCTAAGAACTTTCGCCCAATTGCCCTCACAAGTTGTGTCTGCAAACTCTTTGAACGTATGGTTAATGTTCGTCTGATGTGGTTCCTGGAACACCATCACCTCCTCTCCCCTTCTCAATTTGGTTTCCGCAAGTGCCGCAGCACAACAGATGTCCTGGTGAACTTGGAGGTCTATATTCGTACTGCTTTTGCTGCGAAGACCTCTGTTGTTGCCGTCCTTTTTGACCTGTAAAAGACACCACTTGGCGATATCATATTCTATCCCAACTTCATTCTTTTGGCCTTGTGGTCATCTCCCTCTCTTTCTCCGCAACTTCCTCTCTCGTCGTTCCTTTCGGGTGAGACTTGGTATCGCTCTCTCTGCCTCTTTTCAGTAATACGAAGGTGTGCCCCAGGGTAGTGTTCTGAGCACTACTATTTTTTCTGGTTGCCCTCAATGGTCTTCTTTCCTCTCTTCTTTTAGGCATCTTCTCCGCTCTCTATGTTGACGATCTTACCCTTTGCTGTCAAGGTGAAGATTCGCCACTCCTTCAACGCCGGCTTCAACTTGCGATTGATGCCGTGTCGTCTTGGGTCACTGATCATGGCTTCAGGTTCTCTACGTCTAAGACTTGTGCTATGACTTTTATTCGGAAGCGTGTCATTCTTCGTCCTTCTTTGTTGCTTTATGGTCACCCCATTGTGTACAAGGATTCCGTAAAGCTTTTTGGGTTGATTTTTGACACTCGTTTGTCTTGGTCAGCCCATATGTCTTACCTCCGTGTTGAATGCTCTAAGGGTCTTACCCTCCTTCGGGTATTGTCTCATACTTCTTGAGCGGATAGGCGCGCACTCCTCGCTTTACATTCCTCTCTCATCCTGCCTAAGCTTGATTATGGTTGCCCTGCTTACTCGTCTGCTTCTCCTTCTACTCTTCACCATCTTGATGCTTTGCACCATACTGGGTTGCGCCTCAGTTCTGGTGACTTTTGTTCGACTCCCGACTCCTGTCCTCAAATTGTATGTTGACACTGGCTTCCTATCTCTCCGGGACCGCCGTGATCGCTACTGTCTTCACTATCTTGCGCGGTCCTTGCAACATTCTTCCTCTCGCCTCTGTCGTGCTTTAACTTTTGCCCCTCCTGCGGTTCCAGTTCCTCTTCACCACCTCCCTCTTTCTGTGCGGTTATCTCGCTTACAGGATTCTCTTTCCTTTCGTATTTCTAATGTTTCTCCTTGTGTTGTTCCTTCTTTGCCCTCCGTGGAGAGTCCCCCTTCCGCGGTTTTGTACTTCCTTGACCCGCATCACTAAAGCTTTTACCCCTCCTACGGTTCTAAAACACATTTTTCTTGAGCACTTTTCTTCTCACTCCCGCTCCGTTTCCGTCTCCACCGATGGGTCTAAGTCTGCGGACGGTGTAGGCTTCTCTGTTGTTTTTCCTGATTGCATTTATATGTGTCGCTTACCTCCGGAGACTAGCATCTTCACAGCAGAACTTTATGCTATTCTCTATGCTCTTTGTCCCTTGCTTTCTCGTTGTCAATCTTCCTTTGTAGTTGTTGTTGACTCTAGTAGTGCCCTCATGGCTCTTGGGTCCTTTAATCTGGTTCATCCAGTGGTTGTCAAGATCCAGCATTGGGTGTTTCTTGTTCACAGTAAATTTAAGTCGGTTGAGTTTTGCTGGGTTCCCAGCCAAATTGGTGTTTCTTTAAATGAGCGTGCGGATGCTGCCGCCAGGGAAGCTGTCCGCTCTTGTCCCATCTCTCATAAAGGTATTCCATATTCCGACTTTTACCCGGTTATTCATTCCTCCATCCTTGCCCGTTGGCAGGCTTGTTGGTCTTCTGTTACTGGTAACAAACTGCATACTCTTAACACTTTCCCACACCGCAGAAGCCTGTGTAACTTTCCCCTCGTGTACCTACGCCTAGCGTTTCGGGGCGACCGCGCGGCGACACTTAAATGTTTATACTCTTTTCGGTCTGTTCACCTTAATTTTCCATATATGTATTTAATTTTGGTATCAATTTGTTCACAAGAGAATGCTCTAGAGGAATATATATATAAAATTTCACTAAAGCCGACGTGAGACCCTCGCCAAATAAAAAACTATGGCGATCGTTAGCCGTGAGTGCCAAACAGCGATGAAATGTTTATGCTCTTTTCAGGTTTGTCAACCCCAGACTTGTTCTACATCGTTAATTTTGGTATCACAATACAATTCCCTACACAGACATATGAATATAAAGTACAAAACATGGGCACGCCCCACCCGCAAGACCGTGGGAAGTTGCCCGAGGGTTACCCACTACCGCACGCCCAACTGCATATCAGCTACACCCTACTGAAAAGTTCATACTCTGTTCATGTTTTTTACCTTAATTTTCGATGTATGTGTTTCATTTTGGTATCGATGTGTTCTCAATGAAATGTTCTAGAGGAACATATGTATAACATGTCACGAAAGCTAACGTGATTCCGGCCCCAAATAAAAAACTAAGTCGTTTGTTAGCCGTGCACGCCAAATAGCGTGAACATGTTGCTACTCTTTTCAGGTTTATCAAGTCCAAACTTGTTCGACATCGTTCGTTTTTGTATCACTGTGATCGCAATAAAATTTCCTACAGAGACATATGCATACAAATTAGACAACATGGGCGCGCCTCACCCACAACGACCCCTAAAGTCGCCAAAGCCTTACCCGCTAGAGCACACTCATTACCACACCCGCTACACCCAATACACCAGACAAACACACACAGTTTGCTAACAGAAGTTTTTGTGCAACATTTTTCATTGTGGTATCAAATTATTCGCAATTTAATGCTCTAAATAGACAGACAAATATAAGCAATAACAACCTCAATATATATAAGCAATACCAATAACAAAGTATAAAGTGGTAATATATTTATAAAAACTTGTACATTGTGTTTGTACTTACCTATGGAATGATGATGGTAGAACAATAAGTTGAGCATTTTGTGATCCACTCCACCTGCTTCAGGAAAATGTTCTTGAAGTTGCTCAACAGATGTTTCATAGGTGGAGTGAATGTGTGCAGAGGTGCTATTTTTTCGCCACCCAAAATGCCCTCTTGCGGTGGTATTTTGTGTAGCAGGGTGTCGCACACAGTGCAACTCCACATGTCTTGCACTCATACTTAGAATCCTTTCTTATTCCAGACTTGTAGCAAAGATGACACCTTCGACGTTTTCCGTCGAAGATGGCATGGCATGGTTTTCGACGATGGCATGGGTCAAATTCTTATTGAGACGATGTTCTGAATCCACAATACCAGGTGGCTTTTTCTTAGGACGAGGTCGACGACTGGTACTAGGAGCCACTTCAGGTTCTGAGTCGGATGAGGTGTCATCTGCTCGAGGTGTCGAAGGAAATAGAGGACGCCTCACACCAGATAGTCCCGGTCTGCCAACATTGCCACATATCAGCATTTATATCCGGAGCATGTGCGATGGGGTTATCTGTGTTGGGCCACTCATCATTTTCCCACCTCAACAAGGACCATATTGCTACCTCATGAAACTGGAGCAAGGTCATTTTTGTCTGATCACTACTGTAGGTCTTGTACAACACACATGCATTATGGAGAGCCATTTGCAGGAAATAAAAGATAATTTTTTTGATCCACTTGTGACATTTTCGTGTGAACTTGTAATATTTTACCATCTGGTCAAAGTCATCAACACCTTTCATGTAGGTATTGTAGTCATATATTGCATTTGGTTTGTTTACAGTTACAAGGTTCACTGAAGTTGTTCCGTCACGTTTCCGCACTCTTTTCCTTCGTTCGACTTCCTGTGTGTCAGCATTGTGGCAGTTTGTGATTAGTGAGACCACTCGCTTGTCTTTCCACAGGATTATAAATGTATTATCCTTGCGGCTGAATATGGTTGTATCCACAGGAATTTTACCCTTTGCTTGCTGTTGCAGATGCTTGGGGGCACCACGCTATAATCTGATAGTTCCACACGTGTAAACACCATGTTGACGTAGCTGTTCTGTGAGGCTGACAGAGTTATAGTAGTTATCCATATACAGATGATAACCCTTGTACATTAGGGGCCGAATCAAGCCCATGACTGTCTCCACTGTTGTTTTACCAATTCTGGAATACACCTCGAAGTCATATATGTAGCCAGATGTTCCAGTGAAACTGTCTACAGATAGTGGAGTGTTGCCAGTACACCAGGCTATCCCTCATCCTCCTCCTCAGAATCCTCACTTTTCTCACTCTCCTCAACCGTTGACTCACCATCATCTGCCGTCTCTGTATCACTGTTGAAATCACTGACCTGTTCTTTCCCGTCAATATCGGATAATTCTTCAATCAAACCTGGGATTTTTGTTGGTTTAAGTCGAACTCTGCGAAATTTACGGTAAAGCATACTTAGCTTATCCTCTTTGGTTGGTTTCTTTGTTTTTTTGGCGTTGAAGTGCTCTGTCCTTGACTCTGATCCATCGTGTAACGTATATAAAGTGTTGAAAGACACGGGAACTAATATCAATACCGATAATAGCCGAGATTTGCACAAGTTTGGGACTCGAGCGGGTGCTGTTCTGGTCACGAACGAGATAAACACAGCATTAGGCCCACCGCATTTTTACAAATATTTTAATGGATGACGCAAGGATTGGCATCCGTTCACAATAGGGAGAAAAATGGATGATGACGCTCACGACATTGGTGTGGGAAAGTGTTAAATTAAGAGTTGTGTGTCCTCATGGCCGTCCGTTTCTCATCACCGTAACCGGCGATGGGAAATGGCTCTGGCGAGGTTGTGTATTGGCCATACTCTCTTAACTCATGGTCACTTGGAGCGCCGCCCTGCTCCTTATTGTCCAAATTGCATTGTCCCTCTTACAGTCATGCATATCCTTGTTGAATGTCCTGACTTCCGGAACGAGCGTGTGTCTTGTTTTCTGACTGTCCCCTTCGGTTGCTTGTCCCTCAATGGTATTCTTGGTGACTTAGATACTTTTGATATCATTCGCCTTATGCGTTTCTGTTCGTGAATTGGCATTCTTGGTGATATTTAGCGCCCTCTGATTATCCCGCACATTTGATGGTGCTACATAGCCTTCCTGGTTTGGTGCCTTCTTTTGATACTTACTTACTTACTTGTAAGTGTAGTTGGCCAAGTATATTAAAAGGACGAGTGCTAAGCTCGTGATATTCCATCTCCTCTACTCGGTAATCTTTTTCATGTACCTGTAGCTTTAAAGCCTTGAGTGATGTTGGTGTACACAACTCAATCATTTAATTTATTCATTATACTGTATATTATAATTAATATATACAGTATTACACACACTTTGCATGCATACTCATATACACATACACAAATGAGTGTGTTTTCCATTAAAAATTAGAACAAAAAAGTGAGGAAATTAAATTGCAGGGAATGGAAGAGGGAGGGGAGGGAGGGTGGGAGAGAGATTGACAAAATAGTTGAGAGGGAAAAGTAAAAGAATTTAGAGAGTGTGCAAGAATACTGTGGTCCGGATGCTGTTAAACACATCATATTGTGCAATATTTAAAACATTATTAAACTAAATTCAAATATTGTTATAATAGTCATAACATTTTCTTTTAAGGACTTATTTGCCTATTTAATTATTTTGTTCAGTTAATGTTGTCTGATTCTGTGAGTGGTTCAGACTGAAGTCATCAATTAGAATGTAATATTGGGTTAGATATTTTATAGATTGCAGGTAATGTATGTAGTAATAGCCATGTGTTTAATTCTTTAATTTGCTGTTATTTTAAAATTCAACATTTGATGATTTGGTTAAACCCTAAGCAGATAAATATTGCTTGCATTATATTTATTTAATGTACATATACACACTTGAACATTCCAACATTTTGTAGTAGGAAAGGTTTTCCAGCAACAGTATTCCACCAATACTAGATCTCGTAAACTTTAGGATTTTCCCGAAACTGCTACAAGATACTCAGTCCGAGTTCATTTCAGTAGCTTCATCTTATCACATTTTACTTCTGCACCAGTCATATGTTCACACTATTTTCTATTTAATCCCTTGTACTGTACTGTATATATTTTTTGCGACTCCTGTATATAGAAGACTCCGACTTCTTCTTTATGTATATGTATGTATATTTTTATTTAATATTGTACTTATTTTCATGGCATTTTCAATATTCTTTTACAATTAGTGTGTGGTCTTATTTACCTGTAATGTGAAGTATCACGTCTTCCATATATAATATGATGAATTTGTGTGTAGATGAAAGTGAGTAATAACCAGTTGAGATAAACATGAGCTACAGTGAGCTGTTGCATTCAAAGTTTATATTGGTATAACATGTGGTCCCAAAAGTATACGCTCTACAGATAAGAGATCAAGATTCAGATTTTTTGTGAATTTTGTATGTTAATTCGAGATAAACATTGGTATTTTAATTAATGTACATGGGATAATAAGCACATACTGTACTGTCTTAGGCTAATAAATATAGGGAGGGAGGGGAGGGAATTGTCAGGGGAAAGTGCCAAGCCATTACGACTATATAGCAGTGGAAAGGGGTCAGGATAAGGATTTGGGATAGGATGGGGGGAAGGAATGGTGTCCACAACAACTTGGACGGTCGGGGATTGAACGCCGACCTGCATGAAGCGAGACCGTCGCTCTACTGTCCAGTCCAAGTGGTTGGGCTAATAAATATAGGATGGAGATGCATATGATGGTATCAACTAAAATGTTTCCACCATTTTAATATTAACATTATTTTTTTTTTGTAAATTATAATGATAATATAAGTTATGCAAATTAACACTAAGAAGTGAGCATTTAACAGTGTATTTACCCATGTACAAAAATGATCTGTTATAGAGCAAATTGAATGTTTCTTGGGGTATACTCCAGCTCATTGTTTAATGCAGTCTCCTAGGGTAGTCATATGTGCAGAAAGATAAAGTCCCAGAGGTATGAAATTTAGGCCAAAAATATTGTGATGTACTTGTAGCTGTGTATGTTGAGATTCTTGTCAACAAGTAGGACATGGCTGACTGTAGCAGCAGTAGCAGTGTTGGATGGTACTGTACTGATATAAACAGTCAAATATTCTAAAGGTCTATCATTGGCTTTTTGGTTATGTTGTGAATGCTGATAAATACACGATGTGACCCACTGTATACTACTGATCTCTGGTTTGAGATAATGTGCTTGTGTGCATTTTGCATGAAAGCATTTGATAATTAGTCTTTCATGGTAGCCATTGAAGTAAGTTTGAAAAATAATAAACGAATTCATTATTTGAATTCATGTACTGATTTTATCAGTGATTTATGTCTTATCGATATAGAATGTAATGAGCAATTTTAAATACTGTAGCAACTTCATCACAGATAATATTAGCAATGCCAGGTGGCTTTAGATGGTTGTAGTGTAGATAACAATGTAATTGTAGGTAAACTTTTATCTGAAGGCATTTAGACAATTTCTGAATTAAAATTTGGTCTTCTGAAACACTGCTAATAATCATTTCATTCTTGTACAATATCCAATAATTGTTATTAAACAGAATAAATATTAATTTAGTTTTAATTACCCCTAATGGGTTGGTTCCATAACATGGTGAGGAGGCTCTTGTGTGCCACCTGTAAGTTGACAGGGTCGGCTGCTGTTCCCCCCCCCCCCTCCTCTCCTGCCTGCTGTGGTGGTGCACAAGCAAAATACAATCCCCACCCCGCCCCCCGGTGTAAACAAAAAACTGTTTGCTCTGCTTTGCATGTAAATCTGTGCATTCCCTGTGTTCCTTCATCTGGTTGTTGAGGCTATCCTGTGGCGCCTGGGGGCTACACACAGTCAATTGGGGGACGGATTAAACCAGATTCATTATGGCCCACCTGAATCAATTGGCTCGTCTGGTTAGCTCACCTACCTGCTTGATGGAGTTCTGAGAGTTGTTCTCCCCAATCCTGGCCCGAGGCCAGACTTGACTTGTGAGAGTTTGGTTCAACAAGCTGTTGCTTGGAGCGGCCCACATATCCACCACAGCCCGGTTGGTCTGGCACTTCTTAAAGAAAACTATCTAGTTTTCTCTTGAAGATATCCACAGTTGTTCCAGCAATATTTCTTATACTCGCTGGGAGGATGTTGAACAATCTTGGACCTCTGATGTTTATACAGTATTTGATTATGCTTATGGCAATATAATAAGTATATAGTTATAGAAATCAGATCAAGTGGGAATTGTTGGGTTGGTATCCCTATTGGTCCCTGGAATACCTACAATGGTGCTCCATGTATACGGTTCCTGTTACCCCGATGTTGCTCATGTGCATGTGCCTCCCCCTTAGACTGCTACCCTGCACCCCCACTCACCACACAGTTCTATTCTACTTTCTCTGGGGAGAGCCTCTTTGGCTCCCTGGAGCTAACTGGGCTGATATGAATGTATTAGACCCTGGCATCAGTCAAGCGAATGGAGTTCTAGGCCTACTGGGGACCACGAGCCAGAACCTGGTCCCCCCCACCCTCAGAGAGGCATGAGGAGCAATGGCCTATAGAAACCCCCGTGTGGTTGGCATGGGGGGCAAACCCCCCATGTTTGCCATTGAATGGGCCAGGCACCCCAAAACAAACCCTATCTGGTTAACATATTGCTACTGAAACCCAAACTCTTCAACAGAACTCCCCAAACTAAAAACAAGCATGACGTCACAGCTCCCCCCTCCCTGGGAGGGGGAAGGGGGGCTGCAGACCCACCTGCACTGGCTATCCACCCTTCAGTTGAGGCTGGATGTAAAAAAAAAATGCGTAAACCACCGACCAGAGGGAGGGAGGGTTGCAGGGAAAGCCTCCGGGTCTCGTTCAGAAAATGGCGTTTCATTACATTAAACACTGGTTTTCTGGGGGTAGCCCCTTTGGCTCCCCGGAGCTACTTAACTGAAGACAAAATCAAGGGGAAGACTTGCCCAGGAGGCGGTCGTCACTCGCTCCTCAACTCGAAGTCGAAACAACTTATACTTAAATAGTATGTATACTTATTAGTATATACTAATAGTATATATACTGTAGTATATATATAGTATATACTTATTAGTATGATTAACTTGATACATACAGCTCTTGATAAAAATGAGTTCCCTGTTTGGTTATTTGTAGACCTGCGTAAGGCTTTTGACACTGTTAACCATCAAAACTTTTTCTTAAATTACAACATTATGGAGTCAGAGGTCACTCCCTGCAGTACATTAAGTCTTACCTTACTGACAAGCTCCAATATGTTTCTGTGAATAATTCAATCTCTCATCCTACCCATCAACATTGGTGTTTCCCAGGGCAGCATACTTGGCCCTCTTCTCTTTCTCATCTACATTAATGACCTTCCAAATGCCTCCCAACATCTCAAACCAATTCTATTTGCTGATGACACGACCTTCATTTACTCCAGTTCTGACCCCCTTGTTCTAAATGTCACAGGGAATACTAAGCTAAATAAAGTCCATCACTGGCTAACTGCCAACAAACTCACCCTCAATATTGACAAAACTTTCTATATTTTGTTTGGCAATAAATCCTCAAATCAAATAAATCTCAGGATCGACAATACCCAAATTTGTAACAAAGTAGATGGCAAATTCCTTGGTGTTCTCATTGACCACTAGCTGAATTTCCAGGGACACATTCTAAATATATAAAAAAGTTTCAAAAACTGTTGGCATTCTTTCTAAGATCAGATATTATGTACCTCGCCCTGCCCTGGTGACACTATTATTCTCTCATCTATCCTTATCTCAACTATGGTATTTGTGCTTGGGGTTCTACTACCCAAAATCATTTATGTCCTCTAATTACTCAACACAAAGCTGCTATTAGGACAATATCTAACTCTGGCCCCAGACATCACTCGGTACCCTTACTCAAATCTCTGAATATGCTAGATATTAAGTCGCTGCACATCCTCTCATGTGTATTTTATATATATAAACCGCTGAACTGTAATGTCAGTCCTGACCTTAAAAGCTTCCTAGAAGATTGTAACAGATCCCATGAGCACCACACCAGAAACAAATATCTATTTGATATTCCAAGAGTACGACTTAGTCAAACTAGAAATGCTTTACAAATCAAGGTACCTCGAATGTGGAATGACCTTCCCAATTATGTTTAAAGACTGTACCTCTCCCAACCAGTTTAAGATAAAAACTAAGTACTACCTAATTAACTCAATGTAACCTACCTCACCCCCAAAATGTCAACCCATGTCTTCTATTTTAAACAATGCTGTTTGTTGACCAAATTGTATTTTTGCTTTTTTTCTGCCATGTCCCCCCCCCCTTTTTAAATTTTTTCTCAACACAATGTATACTTTAATCTCAATTAATATTAAGTTTTAGTCTTAGTGTTTTTCCTGCCTGAAACGCTTTGTGTAATAGTGGCTTTAGGCATTGTATGTACTAGCTCTATCTATAAATCCATCAACTTTTGTATCTTACTTTGTATGTATGTACTTTACCTGAATAAATATTTGTATTTTGTATTTTGTATTTGTAATTGGCTGCAACCGCCGATCCATGCCAAACTAGGGCCAGGAACATTGACTAGGAGTGGCCAGGCCCCTGTTTGACCTCCAAAAACTCCCATACCGAATTTCAGCCCAAGACATGTTACCGAAGACGGTAGCCAACACAGCAAACTTACGAATGTCAAGGACACGAGGATAGGCTGCAGGCTGGCTGAACCGAATAATCCTGTAGACGACCTTGGAGACCCAAACCCTAGAACAGGGAAGAAGGAAAACTGGGTCAACCCAAAAAGCATCCCTGGCTACTGAGGCTGTGGCACACAGGTAACGGGGAAGAGCTGCAATCAGACACAACACATAATACACCTCCGGCCGAACCAACCAAGCATCGACAACCAAAGGACCCCCCCGGAAAGCAGCAGTCTCATTCTTCGCTAGAAAAGAAGGATTATTCCCTGTCCGGCCCATTGTTGTCATGAGGGGGGCTTGGTGGGCAGCTGCCAGGGTGTGATGTTCCAGGGGACAGTCCTCTGCCCTTTTGTGGCCTTATTCTCCTGCTGCTGTATTCACAAATTATGCTGGACAACTTTTCCTTTTCCTTATGTTTCATTTTTCTCCCCTCCCCCTTTTCTCCTTTCTAATTCTTATTTCCCGCTGACCTTTTGCCTGTTTTGATTATTCTTTCGGCCTTCTTTTGTTTTGATGCCCGGGTGTTTGAGGAGGCATACACTTGCACCCGTAGAACTGTAGTACCCAATGTCTCAAGCGAGGGGACCCTTTTATTGTCAATCCTCCTTTCGTCGCTGAACCCGATCTCGACGGACTGACGGTTCTTAAGGTGGCATTTGAGGGGCATATACTCATGACGCACCCCTAGGGAAAACCGCAAGGCAATATATCTCTTGTTGGGTGTCCTGTCTCTAATTGTGGCTCCGTGGTGGGTACAGGGGCACATTCGTGAATAAATGTATTACCTCTCATTTCCATGTCACTGAATACTGTTCTTATGACTTCACAGGCTCGTGGGGTGGGCGACCAAGCCCCAGAGTCGGACTGTATTGGAAGACTGGGCTCTGTAGCCCCTGCTGCATTGGGCCCAGACCCAGCTCCTCCTTTGATCCTCCCGACTACTCCCTCCAGTTCCCCTCCCTCCTCTGTGGTTGGGTCGAGCCATACACCCCCAGCGGTGACCACCTCGTCCCTTAGCGCGGCTGTCTCTCATTGTGATTACTGCAACTTTTAACCCCCCCCTCTCTCTGGGGGTTCTCAACGTCGTCCCTGCCACAACCGCACTCGCACGATCCCTTCCCATACTACTATGTACCAAGCCTTGTTTGGTCCTGGTTCGTGGGCTAAATACGTTGATCTGCTCCCTCTGGATTCTACACCTGATGATTTCTCACTCCATAATAACCTTGTTGATTCGGTGGATGCCTCTGTTACTTTTAACCCCACCCGTTTAGGAACACGTGTTGTCGCTGCTCCTTCACCGGATGCAGGTACCCACTTAGCCACATTGTCCTGTATTGGGGAGACCCCTGTTCGGGTCTCCAAAAACGCTCGGTTAAATGCCAGTGTTGGCACTGTTCTCCTCCCGCACCATGTTGCAACTGGTGTTAGAAGACTGCCATGAGGATATTAAACATATCCTCGAAGCCCAAGGCCATCCTGTCCTCCAGATAGACACGTTCACTCAACCCCTCGTGGTCGCCACCATCAGCCCCTTCGAGTTGTGAAAATCACCTTTGATAGTAGGACCCTTCTGCCCTCTATAATACTTGCTGGTGCCAGATGCTTCGTTCAGGGGTACATTCCCTCTTCTAGATTTTGCCTATAGGGAATTTTTGCCTATAGATTTTTGCAATAAGTGGTAGAAGTTCGAGCATGGTGTCCTCAAATGCTCAAGTATTGTGTATCTATGCCCCATGTGTGGGGCCGATGATCATTCTAAGTCCGAGCGCACTTCTCCCCAGGCTCGCTGCCTCAATTGCGGTGAGGCCCACCCTACCTTCTCCCGCTCGTGTATACACTACAAACTCGAGGAAGTTTGAAACAACTTGAAA